TTTATTTAATATATAGTTTATTTTAGTTTACTTAAATAATATATAATTAAAAAATGTATAAATATTATCAATTTAAATTAATTAATTTCATATATATTATTATATATATGATTAATGAAAAAATATTAATAATATATTATTAAGAAACAAATATATTAATATTAAAATATATTAATATGTATACTAATTATTACTTTAAAATTTTTTATTTAGGCTAATGAGTATGTTGCCGAGTTCGAGGGTTCTGGACCCCGACACACATCCATTCGTAATGTGAATGCTTCCGCTCGAAGGGAGAGGGAACGGATGCGCCTTCATGCTCGCAGGGTACAGACTGCCCAGGCTGGTAGTTCGGGACATCATGTTGCTCCGATACAGAGTGGTCAGCAGTCTGGCCCAGTCATGCCTCAGTCTGGCTCACTCATGCCTGGCAGTTGGAGTGGTCAGCAGTCTGGCCCAGTCATGCCTCAGTTTGGACCACTCATGCCTGGCAGTTGGAGTGGTCAGCAGTCTGGCCCAGTCATGCCTCAGTCTTGACCACTCATGCCTGGCAGTTGGAGTGGTCAGCAGTCTTGTCCAGTGATGCCTAGTAGTTCTGGACGACTCCCGACTATACGTATTGTTCATCGGCGGGACTCCATTGAGTCGACAGTCAGGAGTCCGAGGCATGATGATGATGACGACGAGCAGACCTATGATGATGACGAGCAGGCCTATGATGATGACGAGCAGGCCTATGATGATGACGAGCAGACAGATGATGATGACGAGCAGGCTTATGATGATGACTTTGATGCAGCTGAGCAGCCACTGACCCAGCCACAGGCACGTCCAGGTAAACGACTCGGCCGAGTTGATCCTCCACGACAGGCTGGGGGCCGTTATACTAGCGCTGCCTCATATTCAGGTAAATGATTTACGTATTTATTGTTGTTTACCATTAGATATTATTTTATTTAATAATAACGCATTATTGATACAATCAATCACAGTATGCCGTATATATATTGATTGTGCTATTATAATACAGGGGCGAGTAGCAAACGCACTAAGTGTGACGACTGGCTTGTTAAAGCCCCAGTACCCGGTGGCCCCTTTGACGGGAGTGTTATCCCTAGTTTTCTAGGGCACGTAGCCTCCCAGATTTGGACAAGACATGTTAGAGGCACGTCGAAGTGCCAAAACAGGATGTCAGCGAACGGTGTTTTGAGGGAGTGGCTCGTACGGATGGCTGAGGCTCTGCTTGATCTGATCCGTCCGACCGGGCTGTCACATTTGGCGTCCAGCATGCATGACCACATCGACACTCCACTTATTTCAGCATTTGTGGAGCGCTGGCAGCCGAATACCAACTCGTTTCACCTGCCTTTTGGTGAAATGAGTATCATGTTGCACGACGTGAGGGCGATATTGGGGGTTCCTATCGTCGGTACGGTAGTCACAGGGGACCCCGACACCTTGACACAACAAGCGCACTGCATGGAGCTCCTGGGGGTGGACCAGGCAACGCTGATAGCGAAGTTCTGGGGTCACGGATCGATGACGAATGAAGCCGTTTTTACTGCGTTGGAGAAGAATGGCGCAGGTCGGTCGGCTGAGCATGTGGCGATTGGTTGGTTGTGGGTGCTGCTCGCTACCACCTTGTTTACAGACAAGAGTGGTAACAGGGTCAGTCCCAAAATCCTGCACGAGATGATGGAGGACCTGCAGAGTGTTGGGACTTACTCGTGGGGCTCGGCCGCACTGGCATACCTATTCAGACATTTAGGTATGGCCAGCAGGGGGGAGTCGGGGGGAGTGGCGGGCTGCTTGACTGGATATACGAGTACTTCCGCACCTTACGACCCGCCGGTTCGCGTATGGCCTCCGAGCCTGACAGCTTGGCCCGATCAGCCTTGTGGAGGACTCACGTCCCAGATAACTCAGATAAGCGCCTCAAGCATTTCCGTAGGCAGCTTGGCAGACTCACAGCCGCCGAGGTACGTTAAGTTATTTTATTACATTTACTTGAAAGTTATTTAGAATACTCGAATTGTTTGAATAAATGTTTTATGCAATTGTGAACAGGTAAACTGGCTGCCATACGGCCCCAACCCACATTTGCAGGAGCCCAGGACCCTTTATTACGGATGCCTTAGGTACCGGGATATTGTGGAGCCGTACATGCCTATGCGTTTCTTGCGTCAGTTGGGCTGCGTCCAGACGATCCCTCCCCGCATGGATCGTCCGATCACTGTATTTCGTGGTTGGAATGCTAGGATGTACAGGGTTGAGCATGCATCGGACGCTGCAGTAGATCAATGGGATTAGTTCCCGGTACTGCATTCTGTACGTTTGTCTGATTTTACTCCCACCACCGCAGATGATCTAGGGGCGGCCCATGAGGACTACCAGCGATGGTATGAGCGTTATTCTCATCCTAGACTCTTGCCCGACAGTCAGGCGGACAACGAGGCTGTCCCTGCGCGCGCCAACACAAATTACGTAAGTCGTTTACTAAATTTAGTTAGTATTCGTTCATTACAATTTTTTTTTTATATTTTAATTATGTGTATATATTTTCGTTGTGCTTTGTGTAGTGGATCGGACGGTCATGTCCCTTTCATCAGATATGCATCAAGAGATCGCGACACTTGCTCCTGATAGGGCGGCAATTTATGCAGAAAAACTGGCTCAGTTGAGGTTGGATTTCGACAGAGCGCAGTAGTGATGTAATAAATACTTATTTTTTTTATATATATATTTTGTTTTGGATGTTGTCAGAAACCACCCGAATTGTTTTTTTTTTATTTGTGGTTAGTTAATTTTATTTTCATCTAAACAAAAAATTCTCTCATTATATCACGTGAAACGGTAGACACGGCGAGATATCACAATCTATCACTCGTAACGCATGAAAATAAAATTTAAAAAAAAAACCACAGACATAAGTCGAATATCACAATATATCAAATTCCAGCTGCAGTACGAATATCATTCCACAACTGGAACCTGCTCTGGTACTGATACGGCCAATCTCGAACCGAAACATCTCGGTATTTCTCCCAAAAAAAACACAAAGGCGGTAATGGAGAATCAGAATACAGATTGACACGAATGAAGTGCGCGTAGGAACCAAGATGACCTATGACGATCTCACAGTCAGGTCGTGTAGCCGTGGATGGTGCGTGGATCGGGAATACCGTCATACTGGCTATGTCCATATTGTTATCGTTGGGACCATAGCTTAACAACACGACAACTGCATTGAACAGTGTAGCAATAGCAAAGAGGTCGCCCGTAGCATTCATCCAATGCTCCTCGCCACAAGGACCCCCGTCCCATCTTATACGATCGATTGCGACGTCGACCCCATCCCAATAAAATGGAGCGTACAAATGAATGTTGGTTGCAACCTCATTTGCAATATTTCTTCTTGCCACATCCCAATTCTGCTGATCCCTATAAATGTAACTCGCAACCACCCGAAATCCGCAGTTCCCGTTCGGCGTCACATCCAGATAACTCTGTACGTAGCTGTGAACTACGTAGAGAATCCTACCACGATGTCGGTACTGAAAAAAAATCCGTCTCGAATGTATCTGTAATATCAGAATAATTTCACGTCATAATTTAGGTAATTGAATTTACAAACATAATTAGTCATCGTTCAGATAAAAAATAAAATTAAATTACCTGTCGGATCTTGAGACGATGAGCTTGTCGGGGCACACGAAGAAGTGCTTGTACGACCCACCGGACGACCTCTTTCCCTGTAGTCCCACATCGACGGAGCACAAGAAGAAGTGCTCTTACGCCCCGGCCGACGACCTGTTTCCGTGTACCCCGATTGCGATGGAGCACACGAAGAAGTGCTTTTACGCCCCGCCGTACGGCCTCTTTCACTGTACTCCCATCTCGATAGATCGCGTTTTGTTGAATTTTTCTTCTTGACCCGACCTCTCGGATTTTCCTTCACTGCAGGTTCTGTGTATCCCTGTCGATCAGGGTGAAGCTGAGAGTCGATGAGATGGTTCAGGTACCGTGCAGTCGCAGGATCGGCCGCTTCAACCTCCTCGGCAAGCCTCCGAAAATAATCATGATCAGTCCATCCACTCACCGATGCACTCTGCTGACCTGTCCGTACCGAAAATATAAAGAATTATACAATATGCTCTATCAAAATTTCTATAAATTAAATAAAATTTAGGAGAAAAAAATGTTGAGCATGATGTTCTATAGATTTATTAATCTCGCAATTATACCTGGCTGCGTCACCTCTAGTGTGCTCCAGAAGATGTGGATGTTGTCGGTCGTAATATTTCTACGTGCAGTGTGTGCCTCCCTTAGCTCACAGGCACAAGGAAGTCCATGAGTGTATTTTAGTGCACAATCGCAGCGCTCCGAAACATCTTTGCCGAAGTCTCGCATCTTCTGAAGCTCATCATTCAATATATCCATACAGTAATGCGAGACCCGCAGTGTCAACTGGTCGAAAGGGAATCCCCTGTAGCCCGTACTCATCCTAAGTCTCAAAGACTCCAGCGTCTCCCTGGTAATACATTACATAACATAACATTCGACCCAATTAAAATTTATAATTAATGCATTAATAACACAGTCTTACAGTATAAATTAAAAAATATACCTGACTTTAGTCAGTTGAGAATCAATCTCCTTGTCAATCTTCTCCCAAACCGTGTCGAGCGAACCAGTCGACGTGTTAAGCCACCGCTTCAACGTAGCATGGGAACTCTCCACCCTACACGACGTTGTGTTGCCAAAATGTAAGACAATATCTGTCCACACTTTGACAAACTTCTCCTTGTGCACTAGCTATGACTGATCCACATATTCCAGCACACGAGGAAATGCCGCGTATGTAACAGCCAAATCAGTTACGACAGTTTTGTATTTGTCCCACGTGTTCGCCTCGACAACCTTCTTCCACTTGCCGTGCGTGAACTTCTGCGCGAAGATCTTATTTTTAGTTGTGGTTGTCGACGTTAATCGATAGACCCTGTCTTCCACATTCTTGTTGATGTGCCACGTGTAG